CATCTAGATATACGCTTGGTAAAAAAAATATATAAATAAAACTAAACAAAAAGTTTATCGGAGAATATTCATCTATTTTTATTTACTTAGCCATTTGCAAGAAGAAGAAAAATACACATAAACATTTCAGCTATAAACGGGACTAATATTTTATATTTATTTTATTTTTTTTGTTTTAAAAAATATCTATGATCGAAATCGGTTCAGCAGAATTGGAGATAAACAATAAAATCGGCATGAAAACTGATGAAAAACGGTATTTAAACTTTAAAAAAATTGGTACCATAGAAAAAATTTGGAGTGTCATTTTCTGCACCGAAAAATCAAGGTCTGATCTTTGTCAATTTAAATTTGTAAGCCAGTGTAATTCGAAATTTAGATGTCTTAAAAATCAATTTTTTGTTTGCCTAATCCACAGTTTAAAATTTTAAAAACATCTTGTGAAAGCGGCTTGGTTGTGCCCAACATTTTTGAATAGCAGCGTTCTAAAGAGCGACCCCTCGCAGGTAGGTACCGCTGCACCTGAAACTCTAACCGCATTTATCTCCAAACTACATTTCGACTACACGTTGACCGATCGGTTTGAAATTAACATTTAATCATCTTAAATGGGTCTTAAAAACAATGACCTACGAACTGTTGTATTGGTCTAAAATTGTCCATTTGGCAGAATTTACAAAAAGTTATTTTTTCACCCCAAAAAACGTCATTTCTTTCAAACCTCTGCCATTTCGTTGATATTTGGTATTTTTAAAGATCGTGGGTCATTGTAGAGGAAATATATTTAGCTTTCATAATCCTTCAGAATTTTTTTCGGAGCCTCGACAGACAGCCAAATAAATTCGCGTTATTTCTAAATATTATTGAAAAAAAATCTTTAAATAAAATGAAAAGTTAGATTATTATGTACAAAAAGATTCAAAACATTCTATTCAGAAAAAAAATTCGAAGAAAGAAGAATATTTAGTTTTTCAAATGCTGCAAAGGTATACAAGCATCGGCTTGCCGAAGTTTGGTTCCTTTATTGTTTTTTTAATGAGTTGAAGTATATTGAAATAAACAGGCAGCAATAAAAATAATATGAAACCTGACTGGTATATTATTGGTCGTGGCTTACTTCTGTGTATAATTTCAAGGTTCTATGTACAAGGTGGGCCAAAAGAAGTAACCCTATTGGACTATGCTCTTATTTTTGGAAGTCGGGCCATTTTTTTTGTCGAAAACGCCGCTGTTTTCATGGCATAAAACGGGCACTCAATTGTGACGGCGTCCATTTGGCCGATATTATTTTCTCGACCTGTCCAATAAAACTCTAAATAAAAACAATTAAAACAAAATCAATGTTTTTCATTTAAAACAAAACTGAGAACTAAACAACATCGGCTAACTTCATTTGGGCCGTTTTTTTATATGAGGTTTTTTGTTTTTATAGCAATTCTGGTAGCAATAATACCAAACCCAAGTCAATTCTAACACACACAAACCGATTCTAGCACACACATACAAATTTTTGCATGCCTCGTCGTTTTGCCGGAGTAGTAAAATAGTTTATTTATAAACAGAACTTACGCGAAACAAAGTAGGAATTCATTATTAAAGATTTGATTATGTTTTTCGGATCATGAGAACTTAAGGATAAAGTTTACACAAGTTGTCTGGCTTACGAGGTTTGGCAGAAAGAACACTCCACGGGCTATTAGGAAACATAATCGATAACACGGCATCGAAAAACTCGACAGATTCGCATGCATTAAAAAGATTTCCCTGCTCAAGAGCTGGGAAATTATCGAATTCGATTTCGATATTTTGAAAGCTAATATTCAATTGTGTCGATAGTATCGAAATAAAAAAATATTGGATAGTTTTTTTTTATTTGGAATAATAAAACTCTGCATATAACAAAAAAATGTATTCTTTAACATTTTTGATTTTTAACATCCTTTTAACTATAAATATAAAAAAATCGTTTGAGGTGCAAGTCAATATTTCTTCCAGATCCAGATGTTCTTGTTGAATTAAAATGTGTATTTGCACAATCATTCTTTGCTTGAGAGTACCTAAATGCTTGCGCCTTGCCACACCAACACGAAACACGCTTTTAATCGTCACATGTATTGATGTACAACTTTTAATGCGTTTACCACTATCGTTTTCTATCGAATTTTAAACCTCGATAGTGTATATAGAGGCATTTGCCAATTTGGAGGACAAGGAAAAGCGTTAGCAACAATAATAAATGAATAAGCTTTCGAAAAACCCCAACGTCCGATCAGTTTCAAATCCATGTATTTTTGGGTCAAAGATGTCAAAGTTTGACACAAGACCGGTTTCTTAAAAATGTTTTTTGTTAATGAATCATATTTTATGAACTTTATCAAAAAAAACCTTTGAACAAAACTTGGACTTTAAAAAATTAAAGTACACATATCATGTTTAGTGACTTTTTTGCGTAAAGCCAATGGTTTTACGAAAAAAAATAGCAGAAAACATTTTCTTATAAAATGAGCGCACAATTAATTGGACCGGGGTGGCATCACCAAACTCTTATAGATATTTTCGATAGTCTTCGATTAATTGCTCATCTCTAAGGTTTTCGCATATCTAACGCTTGCCGCTTAAAAAATTTTATTTTGCTCTGACAAAATAAGTTTACAGTGTAAACTTTACACTCGAAAGCATCTTAATTTTGTTTATTATTTAAATTAATGTTATGATTTTCGAAATTTTAATTGTGGTTTTATTTGCCTATGGTTTTTATTACTGTTTTTAATTTTGTTGTATATTATGTATATTCAGCAGCATAAGTTTTCGGAAGATTTTGCTTAAAAAATGTTAAGTTTTTGGTATTATTTTCTGTTTGTTAAAGTTTTATTTTCTGCAGATATGGTGCAGGAAGGTAAGAATGTATCGGGCAAAACTTTTTTAAAACGAAAATCGCTCGATTTTTCATGCATATATGTGGTGCACATCGCTAACATACATTCCGATATTTCGATAACATGTATGAACTCGTATAAACGGAGAACAACAACGGACAAATTAACCCAAAAACAACACAAAAATATTATTATTAATATATGGAACTTTTCAATAAAATTTAATTGATTTTTATATACCTATTGGGACCTTAATTTATAAACCATTTTTAGTCATGACTCAATTATTAAATCAATTCGATATATTTCGTTAACTCCAAAACTGTTTTTTTTTATCTGTTTTAATCTGTTTTAGTTCTAAAGGAAGAAGAAGTGGGTTTTGTTTGGTTAAGTCCAAAGACATTAATAAATCCTAAAGACATGTCTATGTTTGAGCACTTGCAAACAAATAATTTAATTTTCATATTCTGCCTGTCCCTATTAAATATTCTTTAAATTATATATATTTAAATTGTTTTGACAATACCGATACCGAAAGGTACCGATAACAATAAGACCAATAAAATCTACTTATGTATCTGAACGTTTTTAACTAACAAGATATTAAATTTCCAAAGTAAAGTTAATTGACTAGCGAGCAGTTACCAACTAAATTTATTTATTGAGTATAAATAAAAACTAAAATATTAATTTCATAAAAACTGAACTAACTTAATGTGTTTAAATTTTATTTATAGTTTAAGTTTTAATTTAAATGCTTTTTTTCACTTATTTCTATGCAAACCAAAACACAAATACCCAAGCATCAAGTTTCCACATTATATTGCAGGAGCAAAATGTTGCTTAGCAACCCCATCACTTTTGCATTCAACTGGAGATTCGTTATTTTCAAACTAATCGATGCCAACTGCGCCAACACAAACTCACACTCGGCGGCGAGCTGCCAACCCGAGCGCACCAATCGATGTCCGATTACCTGGGGTGGTCGATAACAGTGCGCTTGTTGACGCTTTGCAGCACTGGCCAAAACTACGCAACAGCGTATCGCCATCTCGCTCCCACTCACTTACCCGGCTCTCCGACTTCCGAGGCCACCATGTCCCAGGAATTCTCGCTGGGCAGACGCTTCCTGTATCTTTCATCGTCGCGATCGTACAGCGGCGCCTGTTTCTCCACCGCCCGCAGCAGCAGCACGTTCGCCTCAGTGGCACTGCTCATCCCGAAGTCACTTTAAGCTGTTTACTCGAGAGAGCTCGGTGCAACGAGAATTTATCGTAGCTACAAATGCAAACGCAATTCGATTCACACAACCACAACACAACACACGCGCGCAGCAGCTGAGACGAAAAACGCAGACTGACGAAAAGCAGCGAAAACTCAAGCGAGTGCACACAGGCACACAATTGCGTACACCGACAAGAGAGAGCGGAGAGTGTGCTCTCCTTGCAGGGAAAAGCGAATTGGCAGGCCGACGAGGGAAACGAGGGTTGGCGAAAGCTGGCCAGGGATGGTAGGTAGGAGTGTATTTGTATTGTATTAATAGGTCAGGGTTGGCTAAACTAAATTATTAATAAGTTACTGTCACTCTCCAGGTAATTATTTTTTCTAGATTTGCGTATTTTAAGTGATTTTATTTTATTGCATTTCAAAGTTTTACAATTTGTGGTGTTTGATTAATACTAAATCTGTTTGATCTATCTCAATCAATTAAGATGCTAAAACAATTTTTACAAGTGTAATAGACACTTTTGATAAATATTCAGATTTATTATAAACCATTAAGTGTATATTTGTATTCAGTTATATGTTTTAATTATTTAATTTGATGAAAGTTTATTTTATTTAACTAGGATAACTAATACTTACTCCAGTGACTTGTATGCAAATTATAATTATTAAAGCTTTTATGTCTATTAGGGCTGGAACGGTTTAAAACTCGTATTAATTGTTAAAAGCGTTGGCAGCTCTGTAACCGATCGAACAGTCATGCCAACTCGAACTAGATTTTTTTTCTTTTTTTTTACTGGCAGTGCCGTCGTTCTCTTTTGACGCAGCTGTGTCGCTTTGGCCTGTGTGTGTGTGTGAGTACCAGAGGCATAGCATTAATTCTCGCTCTCTGCGAGGGAGACGCCGTGCTAAAAGTTAGACCCCCCTGGCATTTGTAGAGAGCGCTCGACGTCTCTGCCTTTGGGTTTGTTGTGACCCTTTTATTATTTCGCCGGCAACGAGTGTTTTGTTTATATATCTGGCGCCCGTTAGAGATTCAAATGACCAGCTGTTAATCGAAACAATCTAGCTATCCAGTGCTCCAGGTGTCAGAAGTAGTTGTTAATTGATTATATGAATGTTGCATTTGCAGCTCCAACACTTGTTGGCGCAACACGAACTCGCAGCGAGTTTCCAGTTGCAAAGAGCGAGCGACAGCAGCAACTTCTTCGTGCACGGCAGCAACAAGCGCCTGAAAAACCAGTTAAATTAATGAATAATTGTTATAAAAGCAGTGTCACAAATTGAACAAAGCATTTTCTAACAGAATTCAGGTAGGTTCAAGGAGATGGAGCGCCGGTGGCAGCAAATATAACTGTTGTTGCAGGCGAAACAGCGATGCAAAGACGCGCCAAACAGCTGTTACACGCCCAGGCGACACGTTTTTCACCACCAATTTCGGCTCTTTTGTTTTTCTTATTTATTTTCGTTTGATTTTTTAGCTTCTATCGATGAAATGAATACGCGCCGTAGACCAATTCCTCCATCACCGAATATTTACGCCACCAATGCAAAAATCTGCCATTTGGTGGCTCAACATCCTTGTCTTTACGATCGATCAGATGACAACTATATGCGGAAATCGACTGTAAAAAACGCCTGGAAGGAAATATCCAAAGAAATGCGAAATTCGGGTGGGTTTATAGTCACAAAATTAGATATTTTTTCTATGCAAATTCAATTATAGCACATTGTGGTTATATTAATATCCCTGAGCAAAATTTGTTAGACGTTTAAAAAATTGTATTTATTTTCCAGATCTGTATATATGCTTTAATATTTTGATCAAATATCAGGTCAACCGCTTCTCAATAATATTATTTTTATATTTGTTTTTATTGAAATTTATAAAATATTTTAAATTCCAAAAATGTACATTTTGCAGACATTTTCTGTTTAAATGTGGCAGTGTATGTATGTATGTACGGCGTAAATTTTATATGGTGACCAAATTAGATTCCGATTTATAGCGTTTAAAAGAGGTTTATACCTAGGGTTTATTGATTTTTTCATCACAATTATTTAACAATTTAATGTTTGCCGGCTTGAGGTCAAGTTTGTTGGTAATGAGTTAAAACAGCCGAAATATATCGGAAGAATTTATAAAACTTTTGTTTTAATTTTTTACTAACAAGCCCTTGACCTCGAGCCGGCAAACATTAGAAATTTAGTCACACTTTTTTAATGTATAAGAAATGTATAACTTAAAAATACAGGGATCAACCGTATTTGTCCTTTCTCGAAGATAGTGTATAAAAAAGTACAATATTACAATTAATTCTTCGATCCCTTTCAGTAAAAAGCTGCAAGGAACGCTGGCGCAACATTCGCACCAGCTACGCCCGCTCTATAAAGGTGCACCACGGTGCGAATACGTACTATCTCAAAAGCGAACTGAAGTTCCTTCAGAAGCACATTACTCCCGGAGTTCCCGTTCCGCTAAGAGGTCGCCGCATAAGGGCCAGGGGTCAGGAGGAGCAGGACCAAGATGATGAGGAGCACGAACCGCCTGTGGAGGCCTTCCTCGAGATGAAGCAATCGCCGAGCAGTCCGGACACGGAGCATGCGCAGAGTCGCGACAGCTTCGACACCGAATCGGAGGAGTCCGAGGATGAGAAGGGTTCCTGGCAGGCAATGGCCAAAAAGCGTCTGTGTTTGTCCAAGGAGAGCAAAGAGGAGGCCAAGGTGAGCGCAAAAACGAACCACATTTTATCATGAACAGAGAGTTTTAATGTTACAAAAAAAATTAAATATTCTATAAAATTAAGAGAAATTAAGTGCTTTTACAATGCACTATCTTTAGATATGAATTCACTGGTCACCGTCCTTTTGCTTTTTTATAAACAACTTTTGCTGCTTCATTAATCTTATGTTCTTGTTTAAAATAATTGCAAAGTTGTGTTACTTAAAGAATTTTTTATCCAAAATGCTGGTTAGGGCTTTTTATGCATTAACACAATCCTGGTAATTATAAAAAAGTAATCAAGGTAAATTTAGGATATTCTTCTCATGTTGATACTTTTAGTTTATGTTTCCACCCTAATATTTTGACGGATAGTTAAATTTGTTAAACTTAATTTCAATCTTTTATTTCATGAATGCTATTTATTTCCATATTCAGACACCCCACAACGGTGAAGCAGCGCATGTAATTGATTTCGATGACGCATTCCTGCAGGGCCTGCGCCCCGAAATAAAGCAAATGAACTTCCACCAAAAACTTTACTTCAAGCGCCGTGTTTACGAGCTGCTCGGCGAGATATTCCATTCGGAGGAGGCCGCCTCAACCAGCCAACCGCCGCAGCCGCATTTTCCGGAAAAGGTCAATGGGAAGCTATCCGCAACCTCAACCCCACCCGCACCTTCACCCTCGTCTTCGAATCCTCTGCAGCATTTGGGACTCACATTGCAACTGCCAAAGTTGATGGCCAAGTCAGCCAAAGATGTCTAACTTCTGAGGCTTAATCGACTGATTTCGAATTTATGTACAGTGCATAGGACCAATAATATTTTAAGTTGTGTTAAAACATGAAGCATGTATTAACTACATGAAGCAGTTAAGACGCGAATATGAAGTTTATATAAACATAAATAAAACGATTTTATAAAATAAAAATGTAGTTCCATGGTGGTGTAGTGGGTGATATATCAAAAATGAGTACAAACCAGAATTCATTATTAACTAAACTTTTATAATTTTGTTGTGAATATTGTTTCAGTAGGAAAATAATTTGTTTGATTCTTTGATATAATTTCATATATAATGTATGTTTATTTTTAGCAAATACTTTTGTATACGTAAACATTGTTTTTGTTGTTCTTTAAATAAAATAATAATTATTAAAATAATATACATGTTTAACGTTCCCGTATAAATTATGGCATAAAATATAATTGTGTTTTTAGTTATGTTTTTTTTTTGTGGATTAATAAGTTGTATATAAGGAAACAGCTCTGCCCCAAAGGCTGGCTTCAATATGATTTAAGGTTTAAATACGTAAATTAGTCTCGATTAGTTATATGTACAATCATCGATCAGTTAAGGGCATGTAAAAGGGGCATCAAAACGTTGTAAGAGTTTAAACAATTGCACTTTAAATTAAATATCTATAAAATTAGGCATACAATTAAAGGTTCGTTTAAATGCAAAACAAATCGCTCGCAGCATCGATCCATCGAATTGGCAAGACCCCCAAGGTTAGACCGGTAAAGGGGTAACCAAACTAATTGGCTTAAATCTAAAAAATTGTGGCGCATTCTTCCCCTTCGTTGGCGTTGTGTTTAGACCATCCTCTCTAGGCAAAGCAAATCTTGACCGGTCCCAGTGGCAGTTGCTTCATATAGTTCCAGGCATCCACTCGCGTCATTCGCGACGTGGATGAACCATTGATACTCAGGATTTCGTCGCCATTGCGCACCTGGTTGGTCTTCTGGGCGGCACCACCTGTTCAGCAAAACGGGAACCATAATTAATAAACGCTTTTGGGGCAATAAGACAAATGACCCTTACCCATGAACACCTTTTTGACAATGAGGGGACGATTTCCCAGCGGTGAGTCAAAGCCTCCTTCAATGGAGAATCCCAGGCCACAGCTGTCCTTGACAATCTCCACGCAACGAGCTCCTCCGCCACTGGCCGCCGCATCCTCCGCTACAATAGAAAACGAGATTAATAAGGATAATAAATGAAAAACGTGGTTGGTCTGAGATAATTTAATTTAAACAGATGGAAACCAAAATAAAAAGAACACTTTTTCAATTGGTTTAGGCTTTGTACAATAAGAAGAAAAATTAAAATAATATGTTCTCCATTGGGTTTTACTAAGTACGGCCATAATAACCAATTTAATTTAATTAAACTTAAAATTTAAAATTAAAAGATATAATAAGTATTGATTTAATTAACTTTAAATAAATCAAATAAGTTCAAAGACGGAAAATCCAGTTTATAACCATCAATTAAGGTGTTCAACATCTTAATTCTTGATCTTATTTACATATTAGGAAGTGGATATACTTCACTACACATTACATTTTTTAATGGAATTTAAATTGAATTACGATGTGTATTAATCGATTTGAGACCGGTTTTATTCTGCGTTATTGATATTTTTTCAATAAATGTTGGGCAATAAAACTTTGAATCGCCTTAATATTAAAAAAAAAAAACTCACCCTGTGCCCGAATCTCCGCCGCAATGGCATTTCTCGCCTCCGCCGCCCGTTCCAGCAGCTCACTTGTGCTCAGCTTGGCGGCATCTCCGCGGGACAACTGCCTTCTGGCCCGGATTCCCGCGATGGTGGCCTCCGCATCCTCGTCGTACAGACTGGCTGGCTGCGGCGGACTGACGGAACCTGTGCTGGGAGTGGTGGCCACTGGCGATCCACCGGCCTCGTTGGACACCAGATCGAGGTCCAAGTCCAGAGATCGGGAGGCCTTGTGGTAGTTCCTCTTGCGCTCGTAGTCCAGCTCCGTGGGTTTCTCGTTGAGCGAGCTGAGCGATCCCAGGGAGGAGCGTTTCTTGGTCAGCGCCTTCACCACCAGCGACTCGGAGCGGGTCACCACCAGCACCACCTCGGGACGGGGGGTCTGTTGCAAATAACAATTAGTTACGATTTACTGAATACATAAAAAACCTTATCAATTACTTAAGAAAGAAAATCGACATGAACATAACAAATTTATAATTTAAATTTAATTTTCTTGCATCACAGACTCGATAGAATTTAATTACATTTAAATGTTTCTACTTTATCTTTACTCAGAAAAATGTAACTTTGGTTGCGAGAACAAGGTTCATACATTTTAAAAAGTAAACAAAAAATGATTTTAAAAAGTATAAATACAAGCAAAATAACCAAAATCAATTGCTAGTTTCATTTTATAAAGATCTCACCAAATTAAAAACAATAAAAGCCACAACAAGGTATATATTTAGTTAAGTTGATGAGCAGTAAATTTGGTCTTGTTACTTTCTTATTTACCAAACATAAAATAATTTGCATAGATTTGTAATTAATTAATTCTTGTTAAATTGTCAATTTTCATAAAATAAAATAAGTTTTTTGTTTAAAATTACCTTTAACACACTGATGGACTCACGATGCGTCAAGCCGCGCATGCTCATTCCGTTGACGGCGAGGATTCGATCGCCCTTCTTCAGACGACCATCCTTGGCGGCTGGCGTGTTGCTCAGGATCTTGTGGATCTGTTGGGGCATAAAATGGGTCGATTAGGAACCGATTAAGGGTTAAAAGACTGGAATAACCCACCGTAATCTCCTTAGCCTCGTAGTCGGATCCGCCGGCCAGGGTGATGCCGATGCTGCTCTCGGGATTATCCCGCTGCAGGACGATGATGAACGCCTCGGGGGTCTTCAGCGGCGGATCGGCCTCCTCCACGATCTGCTGGACATCCTGGGCGGTGATCAGGCTCTGGTTGCTGCCCAGCGAAGAGAAGCTGCCGAACTCGGTGGCCGTCTCCTGGGTGGTGCTCACATTCTGCGTGGTGGAGCTGACGCCCGACGAGCTGGACGCCAGGGAGTCCAGCGAGGAGAAGCGTTCGTGGTGCGGCTTCTGGACGATCGCGATCTTGTGGCTCACCGGCGAGATGTTGTGCGCTTGGGTTTGGGCCTGAGCGGCAGCACTTCTTTCGAACTTCTCGCGCAACTCAGCGGTGGTCTGCTGCTTCAGGGGTTCCCTCTTCGGCGAGGGCAGGATTATGGGCAGGGGTTTCGCCTCCGGCACCTTGAGCTTGGCCTGCTGGCCGGGATCTCCCTTGAAGCTCGCCTTGCGCTCCTCATCGATGAACATGGCACTGATCTTGGCCGGCGTGTCCGATCGCCGACTGCTGTCGTCCGTGTCCGAGGTCAGTTCCACGTAGGCGGCCACGTTGATCAGCTTGTCCACCACCAGCTGCTTGCCCAGCTGGATTTGCTGATGATGATGCTGTTGCTGTTGCTGGTGCTGCTGCTGCTGGAGTTTGTAGCTGGAAACGGGCTTCATTCTGCGATTGGCCAGGGAGCAGGCCTCGCCGTCGGTGCTGTCGTTGTCCTCCTCTTGACCCCGGCTCTTGGCACTGCGGCACTTGGCCGAGGCCAGGATGCTTTTGCGACTGGAGAGGGCGGCGGGATCGCCACCGCTCACCTGGCTCTTCAACACGCGGCGGGTCAGGTCCAGGGCGGGCGTGCTGCCCAGCGAACTGCAGCTGGCCTGGGAGCCGGCCGAGGAGCCAGAGGTTAGGGTGGAGGTGTTGGAGCTGGCTATCGAAGTGTTCGTCTCGGAGCTCAGCGTTCTGGTCAGGGCGAACTTCTCCGGCGGAGTGGCCACGCGCGCCGTGTGCGAGAACACCGAATCGGTGTCGCTTTCCTGGTCCAGGGGCGGCGGCGGTGGCGGCATCATCATGGTGCGCGGCTGCAGCGGTGTCAGCGACGTCCGCGGCGGCTTGGCTGGCGGCTGGGAGAGCTGCTGCTCCAGCGGTCTCCGCTGGCCGCTGCCAAAGATGCTGCGGTAGTTGCTGCCCACACTGCCTGCAGCCACTTGATTGCTTCGGCTTGCCGTACTGCGGTGGCTCTCGCCCAGGCCACTGTCCGTACTGTCCTCCCCGCTGGCCGCCTTCACCTGGCTCTTGATCTCCGGCAGGTCGAGGATGGGCTCCAGCAACTGGGGTCTCTCGGGGATCACCAGGCCGCGCAGCTTCGACAGACTCCGCCGCCTTTGCTCTAGGATGTTCGTAATGGCCGCCTTTCGATTGGCCGCCTCACCGCCTTCGCCCGAGAAACTAATTCTCCGCTCCACGCCCGCCGAGTACGATCCGCCGTGGCTGCGCCTCGGCAAGGAGGCGTAGCTCTGGCTGGGCGTGGCCGTGTTCAGGGAGTACATGGAGTCGGCCACATGCAACTGGGGCAGCTGTTTGGCCAACTGATACTGCCGCTGGACATCGTTTAGGTTCTCCACGCTCATGGCGCGCGTTTTGAGCGCAGGAGCCGAGGACGCCGAACAGCTGTCCAGCAGGTTCTCACTGCTCCTGTTCAGGGGCTTTCGGGAAAAGGAGCTGGTGATGGGCGCTGTGGCCGGTGCTGGTGGTATGGCATCCAGTTCGTTGTTGGACGAGAACATGGCAATCTTGTCGCGCACCGACTTCTCCGACTTCTCATCCTTGCGCCAATCGCTGGACTTGCGTGGAGCAGCTCCACCTCCAACTCCTAATCCACCTCCACTCAGGGACCTCTGGTAGTCCCGGCCCAAACTGGGTGCCGCTTCCACGTTTATGACCAAGTCCTGGCGGAACACTTTCCTGGGAACTGTGGCCGGCGGTCCCGTTTTGGGCAGCGGCGGGGCAGCGGAGGTCTCCTCCTTGCCACCCTGAATCTCGTAGCTCAGCTCGGTGGTGACCTTCAGTGGGTGGCCGTGCATGATCAGTGGCTCGCTGAAGTTGGGCGGAAACTCATGGCCGTCGGGCGGCAGGCGGGAGTATGTGGGTGGTGCGGCGTAGCTCAGATAATCCTGCACCAGCAGCTGCTTCGTGGTGGTTGCCTGATGCAGGTGGTGCGTTGCTGTCGTCGTTGTCGTTGCTGTTGCTGTTGCCGTTGCTGTAACTGTGGTGCTGCTCAGCAGC